AAAAAAAAAAAATTACAAAACAGGGTGGTAGGAGAGTAAAATTAAATTATAGTTATTTAAAAAGGAAAGGATTGGATGTTTTACCTCAATTTTAATTGCATAATAAAAAATAATCACAACCTATAAGAAATTACTTACATGTGTATAAGGAGGGAGAAAAAAATCAAGAAAATACTTGTCTATTATCAATTACAATTTGGAACATTAATTTAATACAACAAAATAGCTTATGGCTTTCAAAAAATAACAAAAACTTTCATCATTAGCTCTCCAAGTGAGAAGCGATGCATAAAAGATAAAAGAGGTGCAACTTTGAGATGCTACTTCAATGTTACCCACCACCTGGAAACAAGGCCATTAATAATTGTTGTCCTTATTTAGGAGAAACAATTACATACATTAAATGCACGTTAAATGACAGGTTACTTACTCTCCAGCTGACTTGTAACGATACAACTTGGCATTGCCGTCCACATGGGCTGAGTGCTGGTAGGTAGCACAGGCTGGGCATACCATAAAGTCCTTGAATTGTAGCAAATTAATCTCATGGTTGCAGAACTTCCATTCTTTAAATGCAATACTAAATGCAGAGTCATTTATAACACCAACCTAAGAATTAGATGTAAAAGATCAAAGAATAACATAAACTGATAAATACATTTCATAATCTCTGATGGGTATGTTTGCAATGCTTTCAACATAGATTACTTGATGGAGAGGCATTGACTAATTTGATTCCCTGTAAAAAAGCTACATTTTGTTAAATGTATGAGTCAATTTTAGGATACCAGGCATCACTCTTGGATTAGGGGATGGAGATTCTAAAATCACACTCCTTTTAAAGGAAAAAAATATATTTAACAATTTTTGGTCTTTCTAGTAGAGGACCTAATACCAAAAGAGTGTTGGGATTTTTTTTTATGGAGTGGGTTGCTGGCTGGCTTGGGATGGAAAATGGCCACACAATTTAAATTTAGATTTAAATTTTTTAACAAAGAAATGTAAAAGGTACAAAGCATTAACTATGTGTATATAAATTTAACCTTTTAAAAATATTTGAACAGAAATGACCATTTTGTACACTCTATAGCAATGTAACCTACCCTTCCTCTTAAAATAGAGAAATCTTCCAAAGATCTGAGAAAACCACTTTCAGATGATCCAGGGAGGTGCTTTTGAAGTAAATCCCACTTGGTGAGAAAATCTTAAGAAAAAACTGGTATTGGGTATTTGCTAAAGTAGCAGGCCAATAACCTTCACTCACAAGTTGATTTACATCGAGTGGATCAACGGAATATTGACAACAACTGCAACAATAGACAACGACATTTAGATCAAACTTTCCAGTGGAATAGACAAAAAAAAAAAACAGACAAAAATAGTTTTATCACTACAGACAAATGCAATACGTACAACTTAACTGTTGTGAATGCTAAATGGTAAATTGGTGTTAAAAAAAATTGAAATTATAGGTAAAAATACTGTACCATTAGCAGTGACAACAATACATCCTTTATCGGTGAGAGAGACTGGCTCAAAGGAATCAACAGCCTTCCATACAGCACATGTATTGTAGACTGAATTGACACTATGTGGCAGACATCGCACTGTTGATTGAAAGCAAGGAAGCAAAAGAAACACCTCTTCAGTAATTGAAAATAAAAAGCAACAGTTATGAAAAAATTTCTTATCATTTGAGGGGGATACATACAAATGGCAGGTACTACAACCAGAAACACCAGAACACCAACTAACAACAAGGTTAGTTTAGGGTTAGAAATAGGGCTACAACCGATGGTTAGTGGTTAACGCAATTAAAGGTTAGCGGCTGGTGTTTTGGGTGGGTAGGGTTTCACTTAGCTTTTTCAAGAGCATTCTGGGTTTTATGAGGTGTTCCTGATTTTAGTACATGCCCATACAAACTTCCAACTGAAATCATACCTTTCCACATACCCACATGAGGGTGTAGTAACAGGTAATCTCTTTTATTAAATCTTAAGGCACTTCAGTAACCACTTGACCTTGTTTAAAATAAACAATGCCATGTCTTTGTATAATCTATCTCTTAGAATTCCTATTCTTTCATGTACACGAACCAACAGCCTTTAATGAGAGCCCTTTTAGGCAGGGCCTTCCCATATAGTCCACGATGGACTATGGGAGTAGCCCATCTGGAGGCAGTAACAAGAAGTAATGGTCATTTACAAATATATAAACACAAACCCAAGAAATATATTGAAGATTTCAAAATAAAATAATAATTATGTAAAATTTGGTTACATTTCAATATTCCACATTATACTTCATACATACATCCATTAACATACATATTTTATTGACTTTTCCTGAGAGGGATTTTCAAAGACAATATTGCTATTTACAATTAGAAATAAGAATGACTAAAATAAGGTTCTAACTTACTTACTGTTGTTAAGTTTCCTTCCCTGTCTAAAGACACTGATGGTGCCACACATTTAAAAAACCCTTCATGATAGATCTCTCTATCATGAAAATGATTTCTTCTGTACACATCATTGTCACACTTTGCACACATAATCTCTTTCAAGCCACGCTGCCGACAATGGACAAGAGGTTGGTCTTTCTTGCAGTGTATACAAGGAACTGATGGTAGAAGGGGCTCCAACTCTAACAGCGACATCATAATTTGAGGTCTTTTGTTGGCCCAGCTTTTGCCTAGATCCTCAATCCTTGTAGTCCAACCCTTCTGGATTGTTGAAGGCTTGGTATAAGTCGCACATTCCTCAATAAGTTGATCTAAGTCTACAAAAATATTTGTATAAACATAACAAAACATAAAACACAACATATAACATAAAGCAAAACAAAATAGACATGATATAACACAACACAACATAACATGTTTATTTCATAACTATAAGACCTTTAAATAATGTTTATTTAAATGTATATTTAGATTACGACCATT